GGAGGCCCAGGCGGTGCAGGATGTCTCCCAGGATCACTATCAGGCCCAGGGGGTCCTGGGGCTCCGGCTGCCGTAGGCTGTCCAGCAGATCCCTGAGCCTGCCATGGAGCAGGGCAACCTGCGGGGAGACACCCCCCACCACCACCCCAGTGGGGCAGGGCGCCTGGACTGCTGACCCTCCTCCAGCCTGTACCTGCCCATCTCCAGGACGGAGGACCAAGACCCTAGCTGGACTGGCCACAGTCTCACTCCCTGCCTCCCCTTCAGGCTGGACAGGAAGATGGATAGAAGCAAGGCCCTTTACCCCTGGGATAGCGTCATGAGGCGATGGTCCTGTTCTGGGAGACCCAGAAGTAGGCTAACAGTGCTGAACTCAGAGCTCCCTGCAGAATCAGAATCCCCACCCTGCACAGTGCTGTCTGCACTGGTTGATATGGCTTCCCCATCTGCCTACCTTGGTGGCTTTTCTTTGGACTCCTCCCTGCAATCCTCCTGGGATGGAAGGGACATCTCCCACAAATATCCCCATCTCCTTCTCACCTTCTTGGGGTTCATCAGGATGCTCCTGAGGCCCTTCAGGCTCATGGCCCGCACCAGCCAGTTGGGGCTCTTCAGGCCCAGGCTCAGAAGATTGTTCATGGTCTTCTGGGCCACGTGCTTAGAGACCTCTGAGCTGTTGAGAAACTGGAGGGTCAGCACAGTCAGGGAAAGTCAGCCCATGACATGTGTCAGGCAGAAGTCAGGATGCCTTCATATCAATGACAGAAGGAAAGTCCAGCTTGGACCTTCTTCCTAAAGGGCAGGGGACAGTGTAAGGAGCAGAGTGTGGGTGGCCAGGGAGAGGTTGACCTCTCCAATGATGAGGGTGGCCACTATGTTGTCTCGCATCTCAGTGCTCTTCAGGGAGATGATGGGCTGCCCCAAGACAGCCTTAACCTCACAGCCATAAAGGGCCATGGCCCCGTCAGATGGAAGAAGCAGAAACAGGATCTCCGAGGTCCCAATTCTCTGACCAGGCAGAGGGTAAGGATGGGGGTGGGGCTGGCAGGACACTGCCACAGATCTCAGGCACTGGTCAGGCAGTGGAGTTGGATGCCTGATCCAGTGGGATAAGTTGCCAGCAGGACTCCCATCAGGGTGTGATCCGGACCCTCCCAGCCAGGGCATCTGAGCTTGGGGATCACCTGGCCGGGAGGGTCACTCCCTCTGTTTAGGTCTCCAGGTGTTCAAAGAGCTCCCAGCCCCTGAGCAGCTTGACGTGGGTGAACACCTCCCAGTACTGAGTGGTCCAGAAGAGGCCCTTCAGTGCTTCTAGGCAGGTCCTGGGGTGATGAAAGGTGTTGGGAGGAGATGGAGGCCCTGGGACCTGGGCCAGCTGCTGCGCTCTGGGTTCCCCTTGCTCAGGACTTCACTGTCCCCTGCCCCTCCCTGTGGAACAGTCCATTCCTTCCTGAGCCCTCAGCACCTAGCACCTATTGGGAGGATCCCTGGACCAATAGGAGGGTCCAGAAGTGGAGGAGGGGAACTGGGCCTGAGGCTGCCTCACATCTCACCTGCAGGAGCCAAGGGGCTTGGAGTCCAGGATGTCTTCCTGGTAGTCCAAGAAGCCCTCGACCATGTTCAGCTCAAATAGGTAGTGTACCTGTGTGAGCAGGCCCAGAAGGATCCCCGCAAAAGCCCAGTGGACTGTAGCCCTGTACTCTTGGGTGTAGAGGAGCTCATAAATGGTGTCCAAGGCCTGCGGTGGGTGGTAGAGCAGGCCCAGAGGTGCCCAATGAGTGGAGAAGTGGGCAGCAATGGCCACAGGTCCATTTGTCCCCAGATCCCACTGCCTTTACCTGATCTCACCCTGGGACTCAGTATCAGGAACTGTTGGGTGCTTGTAGCTGAACCTGGGCTGGCTAGCCCCCTCCTGCATCAGCCAGAGACAGGACAGGCTGAGCTGTGCCCCAACCCCCTAAATTTGCCTGGACCCCTACCTTTGCTTGGCTCTACCCTCTGGTGACCTGCCAGGCTCTCTCTAGCCTTGCTGTGGAAAGGTCCCTTCCAGACCCATCCTTGGTGAAGGTCTCTCTCGATCTCACTGGCTTCCTAACCTGGGTCTCTGGTTTCTGTTTCTGACCCCATCTGGCCCTATTTCCTTAGCGTGGGGCTATGAATGGTCACTGCACCCCTGGGCACTTGCCCCTAAACAATCCTGTGGTCACCATGCCCCCTGGTTTTTCCCATTTCTAGAGGCACTATAGGCTCCACTGCTCCTTCCCTGGCCCCAGAGTCCTCTTGTCAAAGTGCTGAGCTTGCCAGGTCATTCCTAGTCAAATTCCCAGGCTTCCTGTTGCTTCTATAGGGAACCCACGGACCACAGTGTTCTTCACCGCCTAAGCCTGCCCTGCTGCTCTCCCAAACCTCACCTGCCCTCCCTGAAGTCTCCTTCAATCTCTTTCCACCCCTCCATCTGCTCTCATGGTTCTTGTCCCCACAGTATGGCATCTTTTGTGACTGTGAGCCCCTGAGGGCAGCCAGGGCTCTCTGCTGCTTTGTTTCCTAATGTGACCTGGGGGCCCCTTGCTATGAGTGTATGGGGTATTTGATCTTTCTGCACTGGCACCCTCATGGAGAAATTAGTACTAATGGCAACAGTGAGGCCCTATGGCCAGGCCCCTGACCAATCAGCCAGTGTCCCAGGCACTCAGTGGTTCACATGTGCAGGGGCAGCATGGTGCCCATATTCACAAATGACAATAGTCTCCCCAAAATTGTGCAGTCACAAACTGACAAGGGCCTGGCAGAGGGCCAGACCTCTGGTAGTAGCACAGTGTCACCCTGGGACCCCACTGGACCCCTCAATGCAGAGCCTGGGGCCCAGCTCACCAGAAGGGAGATGAGCTGGACCTGGTGGGTAGGCTGGGTGACCTTGCAAGTGGGGGGCGGAGCTTGAGCTTCATGTAGAGCAGGTTCATGACCTTTTGAGCCAGCTGGCAGTTGGCAGCCAGGGCCATCCACAGGGTTAGAATCTGCCTAGGGAGACAGGCGCCTATGCCACCACTGGCCATGTGGGTGTGAAGGCTGTGCTGCCTCACAACCCCAGAGGAACTTCTGGATGAAGAGGAGGCCTTCTACACACCAGTAAGTGGTGGCTCCCCCGCTGACCATCAGCAGGGTGACCTGCTGGATGTGGTGATGTGGACACAGTCAGGACCCTCAGGAGAGGTGACTGGGGAGGGGTCCCCAGCCTTTGTTCTGATGACTGATGGAGGGGCTGCCCCAGGCTCTGAGCAGAGGTAGCTTTGCCTGGCATTTGCATGTACTCCCACCCTTCTCTACCCTTCCCCTGTGACCAAGAGAAGGCCCTCCTCCGCCTGTCTCTTCTTCAGGAAAAGGAGGGACAAACTCCTCAGATGGCCCCCAAATCCAGGGAGCACTGCAGTCATGGCTTTGAATGTCTCCACCAGGCTTCCTGGCAAGGGCTCCCTGTGCACCCTGAGATGGGCCAAGTCCCAGCACCCATCTGACTGCAAAGAGTCCACCATCTGTGCAATGGTGACACAAGGCTCCTGGCCCTGCACTCCTAACACACTTCTGGGCTACACTCCCCTCAGGCCTGCCCACGGTTTGTAGATCAAGGGTTTGTCACCCACAGAGTACACTCAGAAAACCCAGCTGTAGCCAGCATGGTGGCTGGAGCAGAGCATACCCAGGACTCTGGCTCTCAGGCCCTCAGGTCACAGGGCAGCTTGCAAGGGTCATTGTCTTTGTGGCACCCACCTGATCTCCGGCTCTGCAGCAGGTTGGCCAATGGAATCTCTCGAGCCTGAGAGATATTTCCATGCTGAATCCCCCTTCTGGGACCCTGGGAGCCCCCACTCAATGACCTTGGATCAGGATACCCTTGGGGACTGTGGACCCTGGGCCTGGATTCCAGGAAGGCGGTGTGCCTGGCAGAAGCCCTCAGGCATGTGCCTCCTGGTGCCTGTGACAGAGCCCAGGCATTGCTGGGAGGCCACACAACATCCCCCCTGGGGTGGCAGGCTGAGGAGGAAACCTACCTCCCTGAGGGGTGGCACAGGGACAGGAGCACTTCGGCCACCTCCAGTGTGTGCTGGGTCCCTAGAGCCATCATGGCTTTCATCATGGGCTGCTGGGCCTTCTTAAAGTGGATGTTTGGCAGCTCCTGGAAGAGGCTATGCAGGACTTCGGCCACCTGCACAGGACGGGCCCAGAGAGTAGACTGCAGGGGGCCTCTGAGATCCTGGGTGGGGCCCCTCTGAGTGGCTCTCAGAGCTTGTGCCGCTCTGCCAATTTGCACACCCTCACTCTGCCTGTTGGTCCCTGGGAAGGTGGGATGCCACCTCCACAAAGGGCAAGTGTGGAGCAACTGAGTTGGTAGGGCCAGGCAGCAGTGTGTGACATCAGTGTGGGGTGCATCTTGAATTACATTACACTGGCCAAGCCGGACTGCCTCACTCAGTCTCTGGCAGGCTGCCAGGGAGGCAGTGCGTCTCTGCAACTGCATCTGGAGGGCACTGTTGAGACAGGAGTAGGGGCCAGAGGTCTGGTGGCCTCCCCAGGACCTGTTACTCACCCAGCCTGCCCCCAGAAGAAGGGCAAAGGCAGCTGAGAAAGGGTTGCTGGGAGGAGGCTGCCGAAAGAGGCCCCAGTGGTCTCTGGTGGGAGGTGCGGCCTGTGGGTGCACACACGTGGATAGTACGTATAGCCTTGGTGTATGGCCGTCCACTCCCCTTCTCGTGCAGGGGGACACAGGCCAGACTGAGGACAGGCACCATGCCCATCCAGGGGAGCCTGAGTGCCAGCCTACCTGCTCCAGCTTGATGCCTGGGCCCTCAAAGATCCTCAGGAGGAGCTTGCAGGCTAGCTGAGACTGAAGTAGACTCCAGCTGCTGAGGCTGTGCACCAGTGTGAGCACCAGCTGTGTGTGCTGTGCCACACTCAGGACCTTGTCGAAGGCCTGTACCCAGGGCAAGGGAGCGAGGGGCCCTGGTCAGCACTGCTCCGGGGCTGCAGGCTAGGCTATTCCCAGAGATGGAACAAGGACCGTGTGCACCTCCATGTAGATGCCTTGGGCACATATGGGGACCCCAGAAGGGCCCAGCTGCCTCAGCTGCTCACAGGCTGAGCCACGGGCTGTCACTTGATAGTTCCCAGCTGCCCTTTCTCTGGAGAATTTTCCTGGGGCAATGGGAGGAAGCATCTTTGCCTGGGACAGTAGGGTCCCCACCCAGCAGCCAGTGGCCAGTGCTCTGCCTGTGTATAGCTCACAGCTCCCTGTGGCTCCTGCCCTTACCCTACCTCACTTCCCTCACCCTACTTCCCCTGAGAACAAGTCCTTGGTGAACACAGATCCCTGCCCACTGTCTTTTGAGAGGGAGCACCTGAGACACAGGCTCAGCTGGGTGTGTGGCCCAGGGGACTCCAGCTGCACAAAGGTGACACTGTCCTACTTCACCCTCTCCAGGGGCATGAGGGTCTCAGACCTAAAGGAACCTCATTTGGAAGGCGAGGAAACCAAGGCCCAGAAAGATGGGATATTCTACCCGAGGTCTCCTAGTGCAGTGCTGGGGGAGGAGGGCTGGGTCTGAGAAGGAAAGCAGAGGGAGGGCAGGGAGGGAGCAGGGGGCAGGGCCATTCCAGGCTGCCTGGGCAAAGGGGCAGTGCCAAGGCAGGGCATCCCCTGCAAAGCAAGATGAGCTGTCTCCCTCCCACAGAGCCCCAGAGGAGGCCCAGGAAGACCTCGGGCCTGCAGTTCCAAATGCCCTCATGTTTGGACAGAATCTGCAAGGTGAGGCAGAGATAGTGTCCTCTCCCTTGGAAGGGCAGGGTCTGTTAGGGTGTTCCATCCTGACTGTGCCCCACTTGCTCCCAGGCATAGGCCATTCAGGACCCCCTTGGCCCCATTGGATAACTGCTGAGGGGATCAGAGAAATCCAATCCTCTTGGGAAGTTTGGGAGTCCAGTGGGTTCATCCAGTCCCCCCAGCTCTGGAAGGCCTCACCTTCACCAAGTGTTGGACTTCCGATTCCCCTTTTCCAGAGGCCCTGACCTTGAAGCACTTTGCCTTCCTCTGGCGCAGGTCCACCATTATCCCTGTGCAAGACTCAAAGTTATAGGTCTGGCCCACCTGGGGAGGGGGCTCCCTGCCTCTGCCCCTTTTCTGCAGCTCACCCTTCTGCTGCATGGAAAGCTGCAGGAGTAGATAGACACACTGGAGGGCAGAGCTCTGGGTCTCTGCATCCTTGTCCCACCACAGCAGGGTCAGCAGGCCTAACTGGAGGCCCAGTGGAGAAGGCATGGCCTCTTCCTAGGGATGGGGGAAAGAAGCGGAGCCAGGCCTGGCTTCCTGGGCCCCCCTCTTCAGCCCAGCATCTTATAGGAAGTGCCCTGGCTGGGTCAGAAAGGGGCTCTTGTTCCAACCCAGGTCAGCCCTGTGCCTCTCTGTCCTCAGCATCCTCCTCTGTGGAAGGAATCCTTATTGTTGCCAATAATGAGAAATTAGGTGGAGTTCATCCTTATCCCCTGGAGGCTCACATTTCTTCCTTTGGGCAACTGTAAGATTTTCCCATTTATCATTATCATTCCCATTTCCAACAGTTTTTGGTTGTGCTGTGCCTCGGTGTGGGTTTTTGTGTTTATCTTTTGGGGGGTTCATTGATATTCTCGGATCTCTAAGTTTATATTTTTCATAGAATTCAAGTAAGTTCAGGTGTTGTGTCTTCAACTTCTTTCTGTCCCTGACCTCTCCCTCTCTCCTTGGCTCCAGTTTCACTTGATGTTGTTCCACAGCTCACTGCTGCTTTGTTTTTTGTTGTTTTGTTTTTGTTTTTGTACTAGGGATTGAACTCAGGGCCTCACGGTTGGCAGGCAGGTACTGGGCCACTGAGCTATATCCCTGGCCCTGCTTTGATTATTTTTAACTTTTTCTTTTTTGATAAAACTCAGGGTCTTGCAAGCTCGGCAAGTGTTCTACTACTGAGTACATCCCATCCTCTGATTATTTTTTCTCTAGTCTTTTTCCTTTAATTTTGGTAGGTTCAGTTGTCTTGTCTTTAGGTTCACTGATGTATTCTCCTGCAGTGTCTGACCCACTAGTAAACAGAATCCAGTGGCTTTTTCACTTCAAGTACTATAGTCTGTATTTTAACAATTTCTATTTGACTTTTTTTATAGTTACCGTTTATCTTTTGAGTATCTTTTTTTTTTTTTGGTATGGGGAATCAAACTCAGAACCTTGCACTTGTGAGGCAGGTGGTGGCACCACTCCCCGGCCCACCATTTATCTTTTGATATTTCATATCTATTCTGTCATTATGTTCATGTTTTCCTTTCCGTTGTTGAATGTATAGTCATACACTGCTTAACAACATTTTGTTGGACCATTTTACTGTATGTAAATTTTACTTCAATAAAGTAAAGTAGTGTGAAAAATGCTAGTGTGTGTCTCTTGCAATCTTTACAACCACAGTGTGTGTAGGGGTGTGTGTGTGTATCTGTGTATGTGCACGTTGAGGGAGGGGGTTAGTCTGCAATCTCTCCTCTTAGTATCCAGCCTCAGAGATGCAGGGAGTAGACATAGCAGACCTTGAATTGGCCAGGATCTGCTTTTGAGCCAAGCAGTTAGGACCTGGGTGGAAGCAGCCCGGAGGCTGGGCTCATCCACCCGGGACCATTCTGATGAGGTGTGTGGAGAGTGTCATCAGAGACAACCTGCTTAACTCTCACAGAAACTGCTGAGTGGTCCTCCCCACGTACACTCCCACTGTCATTGTCTGGTGCTTCTGGCTGGTCCAGCCCTGCCACGCTTGGTATCACCAGTCTTTCATTGTACCCTCCTAGTGGGTATGTATGGGTTTCTATCTCATTGTGATTTTGATTTGCATTTACTTTGTAACAAATTATGCCAAGCTTGTTTGACTTCATGTGCTTTACAATATGCCTATTTAAGTCTTTTGCCCATTTGGGCTACCTTTGTACCGAGCTGCAGTCATTATATTTTCCACATCAAGTTCTTTGTTAGGTGCACTCATCATGCACTTTTTCTGCTGGTCTGGGTCCTGTCTCTTGATGCACGAGTTTCTAATTTTCATGAATTCTATTTAATCATTATTTCCCCCACAGCTACAGCCTTCTGCCTTCTGTCCAGGTAGTCTCTGCCTATCCCGACTGTGTAAAGAGGATCTTTCCTCCTCTACAGATGTCATGGTTCTGGGTTTGCACCCAGTTCTGAGCCTTCTGATGCTCTTTTGCTTCTGCTGGGAGCTGGGACACTGCTGTTCCTATAAGGAGCTCTGCTTGTCCCAGCACACCCTGACCAAAGGGTTTTCCTTTCCCACATGGCACCTCGCAGGCCATGGAAGAGGGACCTAATTCTTCACCCTCTGTTCTTTTCTACTCATGTCTTACCAACACTCCTACTTGGTTCATTTCCAAAATTGCTTGGCTTCTTTGGTTCCTCCTACCACTATGGGCTCTTTGTCCCTCTAGGGCTATTTCCTCAGGGATCACTCTTCTCCCAGGTAGCCGAAGTGCCCTCCCTTCCTGCCTCCATAGCCTTCCTGCCCAGTTTCCTTCAATCCTCCTATTTGAACTGTAGCAGCCTCAGCCCCAGGCATGAGGACTCAGGGCAGAGTATTTGTCTTCTCCCAATACAGCCAGTAGCTTGCATGTGCAGACAGTTCTAGTCCTTGGGTGCTCCTGGAATGGTCTACCAGGTGGATCCACCTTGTGCACCCTACATAGGTGCTCCCTGGGGCAGTGGGCAGAGACTCACTGTTGACTTCAGGGTGTCCACCACATACTGCAGAAGCAGGAGGATGGATTGTACAGCCCGCTGCCGCTCATGGCTCTTACCTGACTGCAGCCAGTGTTCCATGTGTTGAGATGGGCGAGCAGGCCTGAGGACCAGTGCCCATGGGCTCACCTCTATCCCAACTCCAACCCAACACAGCGTGGGGCTAACTAACAGGGGTAAACGTGACCAGCCAGAACATCAGCCTCCCCACTGGGCATGGGCCAGCTCCTTCAGCTAAGGGGCCATCCTCCAGGTTGGGCCTGGAGCCACCTCAGATGCAAGACCACATGATTTCCTACTCTCACACAGGCAGGGCAACACCAGCCAACAAGTCCACAGGACACCACCTAGGCATCTTCCAGTTGCTCTCAGTTCTGACACTGTCTACCTGGGAGTGGATCAGATCCCCAGGCTGAGGGCTCGGTACTCATGAGTGCCCCCACTTTGGAGCAACTGGCAATAAATGGAGTATATTAACTTATCTTTCATTTAAAGAGCACTTTACAATTCTGAGAGTCTGAGGGCTTTGGGGGCTGTAGGCCAGAACCAGGCCAGGATCAGTACTGTACTCTTTCATAACACCATAGGCAATACCAGAGCTTCCAGATTCTCAGGAAACCCACGAGCCCTGTGTCTCTGGAGACAGCATCCCAAAGGGCCTTATGCTGCATCGGCAAAGGGTGGGGAGCAAAGGAGGCCAGGTGAGGAATTTAGCAATCTCTCTTTCCACTGTTTCCTGAGTCACTTCAGGGGGTTGGACACAGCCTCCTCCTGCTCCTCCAGCTCTGCTCCTACCTCCCCTGTCCCTGGACTCTCTGCTCCTGGCTGGACCACTAGCTCCCTGGATGTTAGTCCTGTCACCTGACCCCAAGCCCTTAAGGACAGTGCTAAACATTGACCCGCACACCTGGGCTCCCGTCCCAAGGGAGCTTCTGTCCAATGGGGGAAGGGTAGAGGGGACAACTATGTCCTAAACTGATCAGCTGCAGCCTCAACCCAAATCAAGCTCTGGCCAATTCTGATAGTGGGCATTGGCAACTTGGCACAGCCCCAAATGAGACAAAAGCCTTTCACAGCTAGGAGTCTGGCTCTTCAGGAGGCTCAGCCTTTTCATAGCTGCCCTGGTAGAGAACCCACAGAGCCACAGAGGACTGTGCCTGCTCCCCCTCAGTACCAGCCTGGCCAGAGGTAGCCACAGAACTGCAGAGGACCCCCCTTGACCCCCCTTGCTTCCAGCCAGGCTGTCCCAAGCCTGGTCTGCACTCCAGCCTCCTTCATCCCTCCCTGGGCCCCAGGCTGTCACAGAGCAGCTTCGGGCTGGACAAGTTCCCTTCAGAGGCAAGAGGAAAGCACCCAATTTGGGCAAGCAGGCCTCATACTTCCCTTTGAGCCATGTGGCATTCTTGGGGACACACCTGTGCCTGAATGTCCTGGGCAGGGCCTGGGCTTATACAGAACAGGGTTTCCCGTTCTCCATCTCCAGCCATCAGGAGGTCAGGGGTGAGGCCCTCTCAGGCCTGTTTCCCTTCTATGTAAAGTGGGGACACTGGAGTCCCTCTGGGCTACAGGGATTAACCCTTGTGAAGCACAGTGCCCAGGGCCAGTCACAGGTGCTGTCCGCCCCTCCACAAGGACATCTACTCCCGCTGCACCGCTTGCCAGTAAAGAACAACTTGGGCAGCACTGTGGGAGCATGCAGTAGGCAAAAATCTGCCAAGTTTCACAGATCACCTGCCATCACTGAAGCCCTCTGATTCCTGAGACAATACAGGTTCCACTGGACCATGCAGCAGGCCCCTGTGGAGGAGAGACCTCCATGCCTGACTGGTGCTGAGGAAGGATCCCAGGGGGTGTGGTGAGTCTATCTGCCTCCCTCTGTGCTTCCCTCTCCTCTTCTCTCTCTCACAGCACAGCAGGCTGCTTGGCTGGGGCTGGAGCCCACCTCACCTGCAGGAGGAAGCAGACCTCATCCATGCTGGGGTTCTCGGAGAAGAAGCTCTGGAGGAGCAGGTAGAGGGCGCGCATTGTCTTCTTGTATAGCACCTAGCAGGGGAACCAGGTCAGTTGGTGTCACACCCTTGCCTTCCCTGCCTGTGAGGCCTCAAAGTGTCTGCCTTGGCCTTGCCCCAGTGGTTGAGGACAGACTCTGCAGGTAAGAGCCATGCGGAACCACAGAGTCCGCCGTGGATAGGACGATGTAGGTATCACAGGGAAGGGATAGCCTAGTTGTTCAGGCAGGGTCCTCTTGTACAACTAGGGTCTCTCCAGCTCCCTGATGCTGTGCCTCTGTCTTTTGCTCTGTGACACTGTGTCCCTTGGGGCCAGCTAGGCACCCTCCTTTCTCTTGACCCTCTTCGTTCTCCCAGAGTGTGTTTTTGGCTGATGTCCTCTGGTATGAAAGCCCAGCAGGGGGCTGGGGATTTAGCTTAGTGGTTTCTCCACCTGCTGCTCAAGTGCAAGGACCTGAGTTCGATCCCCGGTACCAAAAAAAAAAAAGACTGCTGCCTTATGGGCCAGGGATTTAGCTCAGTGGTTCTGGCGCCTGCCTTGTGAGCA